GCAGTTAGTCTACCTCTCTGTCCTGAGCACATCTCCCTTTTCCTTCACTCCTAGTTCCATGAGTTTGTCCATTTGATATAGTGGTGGCTCTCAAGCTTTTGTGTTCACCTCTGTTTAGACCAAAGCACTGCCAGATGAAAGACCCCAGCTCCTGGAAACTTGTCTGCTGGGAATTTAATGCACCACACCAGGCCTTGATGTAGGAAGGGTCAGTTCTCCATCTGGAAGTAGATCACTGGGAATGATCAAAGAGTTCTGTCTCATTGAGCTCTTTGCTTTCAAGATTCACATAGCTTTACTTTAGGAGATACTGGCCACAATGTCTTCCTGCTTTGCTGGATGCTTGTGGTGGATAGAACACATGTTAACACCAGAGGACTCCATCGACATATGTGCATGGGAGTGCCTCAGACGAACTGGAAATCACTTTCCTTGGCCTGGAGCAATGTTGAGTGCCACACCATGTTAATAGTTTAAGCTTTAGGACAGTGGTGTTGTCATAGCCACATAGGTAGGAGCAGTGGAGAAATCTTGTTTTTTAAATGGATAAAACTGATGGGGGATGTTCTTCTGTATATATGTGTCTCTTATTGTTTGATGAATAAAACACTGATTGGTCAGTAGAGGCAGGAAGATAGGCAGGGCTAGGAGATAAGGAAAATGTTGGGAAAAGGAAGACAGAGAGAGACTGTGAGGAGCCACCATGTAGAGAAGATAAGACATGCCAGTTGTTCTCTGGTAAGATAAGTCCATGTAGAAACATATAGATTAGTAGTTACGGGTTAATAACTAAGACAGGGCTAGCCAATAAGAAGCCCCAGCCACTGGCCAGCAGTTTAATAATTAATATAGTGTCTTGCGTTTATTTGGGGCAAATGGCTGGAAAGAAACTCCAGCAGCAGTGGGACCAGGTGGGACAGAACCCTCCATCTTCATAGAACCTTGGAGAAGGAAGAGTCACTGCCTCTTGCAGGTTGGAAAGGTCCTGATGTAATATGGCAACAAGCACTGGGTGAGTTCCTAGAGCACTGATGCTCACATACGGTCTACACCTGGCCTGGTCTGTGTGCCGCTTTCCTGGAAAGCATAGAAACCATGTTTAGAAACTTCTTTTGGTAAGCTAACATTTCTGTAATGCCCATGTACCTGATGGTGTTTTTCTAGTACTGGATTCCATTGTATTATATAAAAGAAAGCATTTCCCATAACATTTGGAAATTAAAAATATAACAAAACCTTACATTCATCAATGGTGAATAATTAGAAACAGCCTCTGATAAGGGCATCTAGGGCTACCTCTAGGCTCCCCACATTGTGACCATGAAGTCCTCTTTTTCTACTACCAAAGTCACACCGCTCCTGTGCCCTGAGGCGGTACTAAGAAGAGACTGCTGACTCCATAGCAGGCTGTGACATCTCCCTGGAGAACAAGAGACCTGGAGCCTTTTCTAAGGCAAAATACTTTTGATAGGCTGTGTGAACTAAGGGCTTTTTTTTCTTTTGGTCCTAAGATTTGCCCATCCCAAATTATTGTGGTCCTGGAAGATACCAAACTGTAATGTCTGGATCCTGTAAACACTATCTTATTTGGGGGAAGTGGTCTTTATGAATGTGCTAAGCTTCTTTCTAGGGAAGAGCACCCTGAATTGTCTGGGTAGGCTCTAAATAAAATCACAGGGTCCGTTAAAAAAGAAGCAAAGTGGGGCTTTATGAGATTTCTCCCCTTCACACGGGCATGTCAGCTGGTCTGGTGGTGTCATTGTGCTAGTCTTATTGGGTGACTATACTGTTGAGATTTCATTGGTACAACCTTCCCTGTCATGTCTAGAAGACACTATGTCACAGAAGATGTCCTGGTCCTCTGGCTTGGTCTTCCAAGGATAGCCCCCCCCCATAGGTGATCCAGTCCCAAGTGGTCAGCCCTAAACACACACACACACACACCACTAGATGGACTCAGCAGGTTGTATTCATAAGTATACAAACTATATAGATGCATTAATGTATATGTAACTGTAATAATTAAAGATGAAGAGGTAATAAATTTGAAGTGGGGGGACACAGGAAGGGCTGGAGAGGAGAGAATGTGGGTGGAAATGATATACTCATGTATGAAACTCTGAAAAAAATGAAGATAAAAATGACAAAGAAAATAGACAATGGGGGTTCAACATGAACTAGGGAGATGAAAATGGGACGATGGTCCTTGGGGCCAATGAATGTGCGCAGCAGAGGCTAGAGGAGCCACGAGCTCTTCCCAACAGTCTTCCACTCCTTGCCTTCAACCCAGTGGTTCCAATTTCACACTCTCGATCTCCAGAGCCTCGGGGGAAGAACTGATGATTGCTCAATGCTGAAAGGTTCTTTTTTCTTAAAGCAGCCATGGAAAACTAATATATGTAAACATTCCAGTGTACTTCCCTTTGTGTAGGCAATTTGGCACTTATCGGGAGGGTTGGGCTGTGTGTCTGTGTATCTGTCTGTCTCTCTTTGTGTGTATATATATACCTATTGTAAACCACTTATCTGTCTTGTTACTTATTTCTCATGTTGAATTTATTATTTCTCTCTACATCTATCTATCTATCAATCTATCTATCTGTCTATCATCTGTCTGCCTGCCTCTCATCTATTATATCAATGCATGTTAGACTTTTCTCCAGATGAACCACAGAGCTTAGTGTATTCCCTAAAGTTATGATCTCTGGGGGAATTTTTGTTCCTCAATGTCATTTAGTGCAACTTCGAAGCCTGTCTGTAATATGTCACCTGTTGGTTTTTGCTTACACCAAGTATTGTGTATTGCAAGTTTTTCAAACCTGGCTTCTAGTGTTTTTTAAGGCTTCCTAGTTGTGAGAGAAGGAAGAAAATAGCAAGGGGATGTGCTCACTCACTGCTTTCAGTTGCTGGGAGGGCCCCAGGCAGATGCATGATCTGTATCATATAGAAACTGCTCCTCTCCTTTGAGTGCCCATCTCACAATGAGGGAGGTTCTCTCAGCCTGGACTCTTGTGGTAGGGCCTAGGCCCTGTCCTGGATGAAATGACAGACTCTGGAGATCCACCATGGAGGATCTGGGATTGACATGTTGTTAAGAGAAGCTTTCCTTGAGAGGAGCCTTCCCGCCCGCCTGGTTCCAGATCTGCATCAGTCCCAAATAAACACACAGGAGGCTATATTAAGTATGAAGTTGTTGGCCTTGCTTGTTTCTTACTGGCTAGCTCTGACTTAAGTAATTACCCCATAATTGTTAATCTAAGTATGTCTCTTACCGGAGAGGTTTCCGGGCTTCCTACCCCAATGGCGTTACATCTCGACTCTCTTGTGTTTCTCCTTCCCAGAGTTCTCCTGGACTCCTAATCCCTCCTATCTTGGTTCCCTATAGGCTCAACAGTACTTTATTGACATAAGACTTCCCCAACAACATGTGAAATAAGCTTGTTTCTAACTTAAATAAAAAAATAAACTGCTCCTCTCAGTCTCAGATCTTGCGGAACAATGGATTAGAGTCTCTGTTTCCTGATGTGAAGCCCTGCTTACACAGTCACTCAGCACTCCGTTATCATCCATTTCCCCATGCTTCTGCTGAAAGGAGACTAGTTTCGTTCTGTACCAGGCATGGTTTCTTCCCAGAACCAGAGAGCTATGCTGAGCTTCCTGGTGGGTCACTGAAGCCAGGCCTCAGTGGCCTGACAGTGAGAACCAGAGCCTGGGCTTGCTCCACTGCCTCGATTCGCTCTGGACCCTGTTTGTAACTCCACAGAGCATCAAGATGATCATATGAATCTATGCAGTATTCTGTAAATCAACATATATCAACAATTGGTTTTCCACACTGGCTGCTTTATTCACAAGCTTGCGAGTGACAACTGTCCCCAAACCAGCCCCTATCTTTCCTACAAAAACAAATGAAGAGGAAACAGGCTTCCTGGCAAAGCCCAGTCAAGGGACCTGGGGGTTCAGTAGCCTTGACTCCCAGGTCACAGGCATATAGAGGCTGGGAAGTCTGGCTCCCCAAGGGCAAGGTGCTGGTGAAGTGGCTGGCTAGACTGGAGAGGTCCCACAGTTATTCCTTTCCTGTCACCAGAGGAGCCAGGAACCCAAGCTTGGGGACAGGGTTGGGAGCTGAAGAAGGGAGCAACTCAAAGGCTTCCAGAGTCATTTGATGCACAAGGTTCTGAAGCTTGAGGCCACCCTGGGCTGTATGGTGAAACCCAGCAACCCCTCACCTCCACTCCACCTACAAGCAGTTAGGACCACTGTTATAGCCATAGCTGCAGCCACACATGTCTACTCATTCATATTTACTCCATATACACAGAGGGAGGACTGTCAGAACTGGACCCACATGCTGGAGCTCTGGTTTGGTACCTAGGCTGGTGCTGCAGAGGGCACAAATCCTTGATCTTGTTACTGATTGGTTGCCTCAGGGTATCTATCCAATACTGTAAATGCCCACTGGTTCTGACAGATACACCATGGGTGTCTGGAATTCCTTTAGGCACATGGGACAGGAAATGACTCTGGTGTTTTGTGCATGGTCCATTTTTACATCGCAAGATTCCCCAAGGGCTGCAGAAGGGGCAAGTGAACTTGGTCTCCAGGGTGCCTGTCATCTTCTTCCTGGGGTGCCCTTCCTGTTAGATTTCCATTGTTCCGTGGCTGCAGGAAGATGAAATCCACACCAGCCCTGCCTTGCAGCTAAGAATGATTCTCCCTGGAGTCATTTTAAATGTGTGTGTGTGCGTGTGTGTGTGTGTGTGTGTGTGTGTGTGTGTGTGTGTGTGTGTGTAGATGAAATCCACAGCAACCCTGCCTTGCAGCTAAAGCTGATTCATCCTGGAGTCATTTTAAATGTGTGTATGTATATATTTATGTATGCACGTACGTATGCTTGTTTGTTCAACACCATGGCTGCACCTCCCATCATGGACAGACCTATAGAGCTTCTAAAAGATGCCAATGACTCCTTAACAAATACATTCTTTTTTCCTTAACAGCAAAGTGTACTCTGGATACTGTGGAAGAATGGACTCTGACCTCTTACATCCCAGTGCACTTAGTGATAAGGAAGAAATATTCAGAGAGAGAGAGAGCACAGTGAGGCACACTGGGCTTTGCCGAGCCAGGAAAAAGAGGTGGGAAGCCTTTGACCCCTTTGCTCAGAGTGATTTGGCTCAGAAGATGAACAGTAAATCACCTGGAGCTGAAAGTGGTCCAGGTCAGACTGGAGCAGAGATCCAATCAGCGGCTAAAGCAAGGTTATCTGGGTTGACTTGGGTGTTGTCTTGGTAATCAATAAAAGTATAGAACACTTTCCCTACATTTATTGCCTATTCATTTGGTTGTGATGACAGAGAATCCAACACAGAGCCTACAGCATAAATCTGTGAAAATCACACATACTTCAAATTCCTGTAAGGACGTAGTCTTGTTTTCTCTCCCACCATCTTTGATGAACACAAAGCACCTTGAGGGTTTTGAGGAGCTCTCTGGGGAGAAGAGGTGGCCATCACCCCTGCTGCTGGTAAACTCTCTTCTTTGCTGCTATTCACCTGTCTCTTCTGTCAGGCCCCCACTTACATTCTTCTCTGCTCCTCCAGAGTCTGCAAAATTACAACAGGTCTAAAGTCTAATCCTCAGGAGTAAGTAGGAAGCCTGGGAAGTCATTTTCTATGTCCTGTGGGGGTCACAATCCATCCTACTCTCTGATTGGCTGAGTCAGTTCTGAGCATGGACCCTGAGCTATATCCTACTGCCTAGCTACACATGGCAAACAATGGTTGCTAATACCAGTTATCTGAGTTCAGCCTGCAGCTATATCTGAGGTGGAGCAGTCCTCCTGACTTGGAATAATTGGCTTCTGAGGAAAGATGGCCAAATGCAAAATAATTAGAAGGCCTCTGCAATTCGGTAACTCATGCATGCATGTTTCTTCTTCTCCTGCCCATTCATGGCCAGGGCTGCAATTCCTTCCAACTGGAACAGGAACCTGCCTCCATTCCGAGCCAAGGCGGAGTTAAATAAGCCATTGTGCCATGTGCTCATGGGTAATTAGGCATGAAAAGAATCTGCAGTCTCTCCCTCCATTGTTCCTCACAAGCTGTCCTTTTGCCATGTGCCCGAGCCCCCAGGTCTCAGCTCTGGCACTTGTACAGAGATATGGATGTCGTTGTCATGGCAACTCCTCTTGTGCTAAGCAACTTTATGGTCTAATATTATTAAGGGGGCAGGGGTCAAAAGCCAGTGAGAGACTTTGTCTCTGAAGCCCATGGTAATTGTACCAGAGATGGGGCAGCAGGGGGAGCTTATGGGAGAAGAGGGAAACTCAGCAACCCAGAGTTACCCTCATGAACACCTGTGAGGCAGACATGGGCAAATCACAAAGTCAGTACAATAGCTTCTGGGGCTCCTGCTCTCCTCTCCCATGTCCCCTTCTGAGTGTGTCACTGTATCCCTTCAGGTGCCTGGCACCCTGCTGGTTCCCCGGGGGGGGGGAGCCCTGCCTCTAATAGATTTCATCTGACTGGATTTCTAGTCACACTTGTGTTCCCAGCTGAACAATAACTACTGACCAGGAAGTGATGGAAATATTTAGAAGAACAAGTTCTCTGTTCCCAGAAGCTTAAAGGAGCAGCATACTGCTTTTTGTTTCTGTCATTGTATCTTACTCTAGGAAATGTCAACAATTTACACTAGTAAGGAAAAAAGGATGAGCTTCATATAACCCATCACCCAGTTGCATTCTTATGTGTGTGGGCACACACATGTAGCATACATGGGAAATTAAAATGTATTATTTAATCGCTCTCTACCTTGTATTTTGTGGCAGGGTCTCTCATTAGAAACAGTTTGCTGATTTGGTTAATCTCTAGCTTGCTCTAGGGATTTTCTATCTCTACCTCTCAGCTACTCACTGAACCATCTGTGTTTTCTATAGTCATTTGCCTTGTTTGGGATAAACACAGAACAGAAAGGATCTCTCAGACCCTGTTTCCTCCATCTGAACCCCAGTCAGAGGTTACTATTTCCTTAGCGGTGATGTAAAGGAGGACATACTGGATGCTGCTGAGGCATATGCTCGACATGCCTCATGAAGTGCTACACACGGTGCTGTCCTTCTGCCATAGTCTGAAGACTTAGCAATGCGTGGGGACTCCTTCGTGCCTAACCCACTCAAGTCCAAAGCTGGCTGACCTCATGGCCATTCTGATGTTACTTGTGGTTCCACTCCCTGGTTTTCATAGGACCAGATTCACACACTGTGTTATCAACGGTTCTCTTCTGAGCTAGCAAGTTCTTTCCCAGTGCTGACCAAGAGGCAGATTCTGAAAATGCTCTTGCTCTTAGGATAAGATAATGCCTTTTCCCATCCAGTGGCATATGTCTGTGCATGCTGATGAAGTCCCCAATGCTGCTCTTATTGGAAAGGTTCTGCAAGTACCTCAGCCTCCTCTGGACTCAGCCCTTAGTCCTCCTTGGCTGATATTAGAGGGATATGCAGCCCATGAACCTTTGTTAGAAGAAAGTTTTCCCACTTGTGCGTTAATGATATAGTATTTATGTGGCAGGGCGGTGGTGGCGCACGCCTTTAACCCCAGCACTCGGGAGGCAGAGGCAGGCGGATCTCTGTGAGTTCGAGGCCAGGCTGGACCGATAGCCTCCAAAACAATACAGAGAAACCCTGTCTCGTAAAAGCCAAAAAAATAAAAAAATTAAAAAATGATATAGTATTTATGTGTTCATTAGTTGCATGAATTATTAGGTTTTGTTATGACGTCTTCATGCACACACACACACACACACACACACACCTTGATAATATTTATGCTCCCTAATATCCACACTTATCCCCCTCCCTTCTCCCTGAGCCAGTCCTTCCTTAGTAATGTCACTTTTCATTTTTTTCCACTCTACATTTGAGAGAAAATGTGTAATAGTCGCCTCTGACTCTGGCTTATTTTTCTTAATATGATGGGGTCTAGTTCCATCCATTTCCCTGCAAATGACATAATTTTGTTCTTAATGGTGGTGCATATGTATGGCATTTTCTTAATGCATTTGCCTGTTGATGGACAGCTAAGCTGTAATGAATATTGCTGTAATAAGCAAGGGTTTGCAGGGATCTCAGTTATTGACTGGTTTGATTTCTTTGATTATCTTCCAAGAGTAATACATGTGGTTTACATGCTAGCTCTAGATTTGGTTGCTTGGGAATCCTCCACGTCGATTCCCACAACTGGAAACACTGTGCAAGAGTTTCTGTTTTGTTTTGCATCCTTGTCAGCATTTGTTTCTTGTGTTTAAATTCTTCTTCTTTATTTGTGTATGTGTGTGTGTATATGTGTATGTGTGTATGTATGTGTGTGTATGTATGTATGTATGTATGTATGTATTGATGTGTGGGAATGCTTATGTGCACATGCCATAGACAGTTAATTCTTTCCTTCTACCATGTGGACCCTAGTGATTGAACTCAGGTCATTAGGCTAGGTGGCAAGTGCTTTTACCTGCTGAGTCATCTTACTGTTCATTTTTGTTTTCTGATTGGGTTAAGATGGATGCCCAATGTAGTTTTAATTTTATGATGGGTGTTCAACATTTTCATGCATTTATTATTGTGGTGGTTAGTTTTGGACAACTCGATGCAAGCTAATATCATCTGGGAAAAAGGAGCCCCAGCTGAGAAAAAGCCTCTATTAGCTTGGCTTGTATGCCTGTCTGAGAGGCATTTTCTTAGTTGCTAATTGGTGTAGGAGGACCCAGCCCACTGTGGGTGGAGCCATCCCTAGATGAGCTTGGGCTATAGAAGAAAAGTAGTTGAGCAAGTCAGATGAAGTAAGCCAGTAAACAACATTCCTCTACGTTTCTGCCTTGAGCTCCTGTCCTGACTTCCCTGGTAATGTACTACAAGCTATCAGATGAAAGAAACCCCTTCCTCCACAAGTTGCTTCTGGTCATGGTACTTAAACTCGACAGAGAAGCAAGTTAGAACAACCATCCATTTGGATTTCTTCACTTGAGAAGTGTCGTTCTGTGCATTGCCTTGCGCTTGGATTGGACTACTTGTTTTTCTGGTGCTGGATTTTGTGAGTTGTTTATATATTCTGGCTAGCAGTCCCCTGTCAGATGTAAAGTTGGCAAGGATTTTCTCCCATTCTGTGGGCTGTCTATTGTTTCCTTTGCTGTGTGAGAAGCCTCATAGTTTCATGCAGTCCCATTTATTAATTATTGTTATTCTGAATTAGATTTGTGAGGTTTTCAAATTATGCGGAAGGTTAATTTTAAAGCATGATGGCTTTAAAAAATGTCTTCAAAAATGGGTAAGATGGGTTAAGGCAGGACTCTGTAAGGTGTGTACTTTTTTCTTCTATTACTCATTGTGTAGTGTAAAGTTGCCTGAAGATCCTTATCAAGTCACTAAGGCTCTGATCATATACAGTGTAGATGTAATGTCTATTAGACCAACAGTACTTCTTGTCATCGCTATGGTGGCCACTGTTACCATTCCTAACGAGATTTCTTGTCTACTATGGTAGAATATTTTTGCACGTGAGCAAACATGTGGGTGCCTTTCAATATTCAGCGTATTGGTTAGTTTTATTATCAACTTGACACAAGGTAGGGTCATAGGAAGAGGTAACTTCAACTGAGAAAATGCCTCTATAAAATCAGCTAGAAGACCAGTGTGTGGGACATTTTCTTGATTAATGATTGGATGTGGGAGGGCCCAGCTCACTGGGGACAGTGTTTCCTCTGAGCAGGTGGTCCTGGCTTATATAAGAAATCAAACTGAGCAAGCCATGAGGAGAAAGCCAGTAAGCAGGGCTCCTCCATGGCCTCTGCTTCACTTCCTGTTCTGTACTCCTGCCCCTACTTTCCTCAAAGATCCTGTGATCAGGACATGCAAACCAAATGAGCCCTTTCCTCCAGGAAGCTGCTTTTGCTTGTGGTGTTTATTGCAGCAGCTGAGAAAATTAGGCAGTTCAGTTATTGGACTTTTGTGACAGCCAGCCGTAATTAAAAAGACAGCAACATAAGCATGAACAGAGAGCTTCAAATGCTTGTGTAAGGGTCAGAAACAAGGGGGAGTGACAGGCGAAGGGGCGGGGTAGGTGTAGCTCTGTTTAGAGAATCCTGGGGTTGTTTTACTGAAGAGAAGAGGTATACAACAGTAAGGACGGACATGAATGACATCTTCACAGTTTGGTATGATGACCTCATCTCTCATTATCAGATCTTACATCTCATGAGGTAAGGAGGTAGATGTTTACATCTCTATTGCTTAGGTAAGGAAACCAAGACCCAAGTTAAGTGACTTATTGAATAATTGAATGAATTGGGTAAGCATTAGTGCCATGTTTCCTAGTCGAGGGCTCTTTAGGAACAAATCAATAAGGCAAACAAGCTGGTTAAGTCTGTCAAAGAAGCTCATTAACACCCCCCCCATTCCATTATGTGTAACTCAAATGACCCATGTGTCGAGTGACCCTTGGCTTGTTATTGCCTGACGATTTACCTCCCATTCACAGATGCATTTCTTTCATTAAAAAAATTAAAATCATGTTAGTATTTTAAATTTGCAAATACAAATTACACATTTATGGTATGGCAATCAGTCCCTTGATAAATGTATATTTTGTAGAGGGGTTATATTAAGTTAATACACCTCTAACACGTGGAAACCTGATAATTCTTCAGAGCTGAGATGTAAAATCTACGTTCTTGGAATTTTCAAGTCCCCAATACATAATCACCTGTAGTTTCCATGTTGTGGAGTAGTTGTTCTGAACCTACTCCTCCCAGGAAACTGAAATTTCATGTCATGTGATCAGACCTCCCCAAACCCCTCCTCACCCTGGTAGTCACCATTTTACTCTTTGCTATCTGATTCCGTGTGTAACTGACCATGAAGCACTTGTCTCTGGCATGTATGCTGTATGCACACTAGTGTATAGGGTATACACATCCATGTGTGCACATATGTAGGCCAGAGATTCATGTCAATGTCTCTCTCAATAGCTGTTGACCTGAGTTTTTGAGACAGGGTTTCTCAATAAATCCAGAATTTGATGTTTCAGTTAGACTGACTGACCAGCAAGCCACCAGAACCCATCTGCCTCTGTCTCCCCAGTGTTGGGGTTACAGACGTGTGCTCTGGGGATCTGAACTCATGACCTCATGCTTGTGCCATAAGCACTTTACCCACTGGGGCCATCTCCCCCGCCCCCAGTCTTTCTGTGACTGACTTATTATATTTAATACAACAGCTTCCAAGTCCCACCATGCTGCAAATGGCAGTATTTGAAGTTCTTAAAGAAGTAGCTTTTCATTGTGTCTGTGTCACATTTTTTTTCTTTTTGTGAATCATGGACACTCAAGCTGATTCTCTTCTTGGATCTTGTGGACAACGCTCAAATAAACTTACGGGTGCATGTATCTCTGACACACTGCTATCTGTTCCCTCTAGAGAGAGACTCAGCAGTGGGAATGCTGGATTGGATGGTAGTACTTGGTTTTCACGTTTGAAGGAACTGCCATCTTGTCTCCCATAATGGCTGTACTAATTTGCATCCCACCAATGTGAGTCACCATTCACTTCCCCCCATGTTTTCATCAGTACCAATGATTTCTTGTCCTATTTATTTTGATGTGAGAGATCATGACAGACATGACATGAAATCACAGGTTTAACTTGTTTTTCTCTGGATATTAGGGGTGTTGAGCATTTTTCATATGCTTGGTACATTTGTATGTCATTTTAGGGCATTTGCTTATTTTAAAAAATGGGGCTGTTTATTTTCTTTCTGCTGAGGCTGAGTTGCTATATTTTTGGATGCCACTCTCTTATGAGACATACGTTCTTCAGATTTGCCTCTGTCCCATGGCTTTCCTTCTGTTGTCTTTTTCTCACACCGAGTTTAGTTGGAAGCAATCTCATGGATTCATTTTTCCTCTGTTGTCTGGACTAGCATCTTTACAGTTAGCCTCTTCTGGTTGCAAGGAAGAGAGACACTCAGCTCAAATGAACCTGAGGAAATAAAAGGGCTTAATGTACAAGTGTTTTCAGAGGGAACAAAAAGCTCTCTGGGGCTTGCAGGGGCACTGAGACTGGATGTTCTGAGCTCTTAAGCGCTTCTCTTTTCTCAGCTGACTTCCACTGTCTCTCTGTCCTAGGATTCCTCAGCTTAGTCCAAGCCCAGTCTTTCCATGACCTCATCCTGCATTGTGGTCCTTCTGGTTAATTTCAGGTTCTAAAAGCTAAGGCTCCTTCAGTGTTTCATCTACTGGCAGCTAGCATATCCTTCGATATGTTCCTCACCGGAAGTCTTAGGAGAGGTCCTCTGATGACCCAACATCCTGAAAGGGTTGGATGAGCTGTGTCTGGTCATATGCCCACGTCTGTGTAAGTCAAATGTGGCCTGAATTAGGGTTCACATGTGATTAATCATGGTGGCTTAATGCTGCTCTTTGTGTGTGGCTTATAGGAGAAAGGAGTAAAGTCCATGCATCTGTATACATTCGTGGACTCTGTCTCTTGTCTTTCTCATTTGTAACTCAGCACAGACAAGGGAAGGAGACAAAGCTAATGCTGTACTGACTCTCAAGTGCCAGCACAGACAAGGAAGGGCATGAAAGTTACTGTTGTGCTGACTCTCAGGTGCCAACCTACTTTTGCATAGAGTTGAGGGCGGGTGCCTCCTTCTGTTCATTTCTGGGGTTTCTATTTGCCTTGTATGATCCCCATCATTTTACTTTTTCCCCTTCACCTATATCACGATGTCCTGTGTGTTTTCAGGCATTAAAAGTCTCCTTGGTCTCTCTGTTGGACACTTCTTCTGTCAAAACCCTCTTCCAGGTTTGCTCCATTGATCTCTAAATATGCTACAAAGATAACCTGATTTCAACATAGTATTACATGTTGGTTGTTGCTGAGGTTTGCAACTTCCAAGTAGCTTTTCCCTGATTGGTGTCCACATTCATTTTTCTCCTAACTTTTCACCCTGATGTCTCACAGGAACACCAAATGCAATATTCACTCGCACAAATTTAGAGTAGTTCCCTAAAAGCTTTCTTGGCATTCTGTGCTACTCGTGTGAACAAATACACTCAATCAGTCAAAATAATTGGCCGTGCCATCTCTGATTCCCCTCATCTTAGCCAATTGATCATGAAAGATTTTGATTCTCTCCTCCATATATCTGTACCTATCCCTTCTTAGCCATCTTTACATAACATAGAAAAGTCTAACAATATAGAGACCCTGAAAGTATCCACTCTATCGGGAAAGAGGTCATTGTGGCCTTGGTGAAAACATATTTTTGGGACAGTGACGAGAACACGAACTCCCACTGTCTGCATTTGATAGGCTGTTGTCAACAGATGGTTGACCTCACTCTTTCTCACCTTTTTTTCTATCCTACGGCCAAGTTGTCTTCCAGAATGAAAATGTCCTTGTATTATAGCATGGTGTCCTGTATAATGAGAATAAAAGGAGACTCACACAAAAACTAAAATTCTGAGAGACTGACTCCTGACTTGAAAACTTTAAAAAAATTTCTCACTATCTAAAAGGATGAAGTCCAACTTTTATCATGACATCCAATATTGTTCATAACCTGGTCTTTCATAATCTAAGAATGTTGTCTGTTATCACACATCTTCTCTAGTCCAGTGACCCAGTCATATTGTAGTCCTGACAGGCTTGTCTAAGCCAAGCTGGACCGACCACGACTCCCTGCCTTGTATGTGCTTTTCTTTTTCTCTTTTCCGTCATTTGCCTAGAAAGCTGCTTCTTATCTTTCTACTCATTGTAAGCACCCCAGGACAGCTCCTCCTAGACCCACAGCCACTTAGGCAGAGCTGATCTTTCCTCTGCCTTACACCACATTTACTGTTCTACTTGGTGTTAACCCTCTTGTTGGCAACAGTTGCTCTCACATTACATTTCAAGTTCCTTTCAGACCAAGGGTGTCTTTTGGTTGTCTTTGCAGCCCTGTGGCCCCTTCTTGTACAGAACTAGCAGTTGTTGTGCAGCCTGTGTTCAGAGATGCTGAGCTGGGCTCAGTGGATGCTTCATCGAGTGAATTCATCTTCTGGTTTCCAAAGCATTTTTAAATGATTCATGCCATATGGATGAATCTTTTCACAGGGCCAAGTGGAGGGTAACGGAAGAGAACCAAGGATCTCCCCAGGACTGCCTTCAGTGGTGATGTAACATAGCCCCTCATTCCATTACCCTGATCTAGCTATCTCTTCAGTTTTTCAGATGTCTGGTATGTCTATGTTCTCCTTGATTCTAATTTATCTAAGGTCAAAATCTCCCAAACCATAGCAATCAGGCAGCCACCAAACAAGACCATCAAAAGGCTGAGCTGATCACCTATCTCCAGATTCCCCCCCACCCCAATGTAGTATGTTGTTTAATTGCTTGAGTTGAAAAGGCCATAATAACATTGAGATCTAATACCTAGTAGGTAATTCATTAACTTTTTCTTGTGACTAATTAGTTTGTTATAGCATCTTATTTAGAAAATGACCAGGGGAATATGAGTATAGGAGGAAAATCCAGGAGCAGTGGCAGAATGAAAAGAGTACATGTCCTTAGTAATTTGAAGCAGAGGGGTTAGCTGATGTTTTGGGGTAGTGGAAAGGGGAGGCAGAGAGCTGAGAGAAGACAGAGTATGTTTAGAGATTCATTCAACACTTTTATTAATTTTACTATGAGCCAGGCACCCAGGATTATTAAAGAAATAATAAGGTGATGATTATGCATTGCAGGAACTCATTATCTTGTGGGAAAATTGGATACGGAAAGTCACAAAGCAATATTTTAAGTACAATGGCAGAGGTTAAATGTAATATGCCCCTGGAGCACAGAGGAGGGAGCAAATGGCTCTGACAGGGAGGGAAGTCTGCAGAAGCAGTGGAGCTGCAGGGAGAAGGCAACACTTACCTGTGTCTTTAAGTGTGCTGAGGTGGGTATCAGAAGAGAAACCATTTGAAGGAGGATGTCGATAGAATTTGCTCAACAATCATTTCTTGGGTGCCTGTTGTACAAAGTGTCCTTCTAGTTGTGAGGCATGCATAGGTGGCCAGACAGGCAGAGGCCACAGACAAAGGCACTTACGTTCTAGTCAGAGAAAGGAAAGAGTCAAGAAATGCTCCGAAAGTTTCAGTTTGAGTGAGTGGCTGTGAATTGAGAAAGAAAAGGGGCTGGGCTTGTTAAAAACAGTAGGGGGTTAGTCTGAGAAATGTCTCTTAGATACCTAAGCAGTGATGTTAAAATGTGACTTTTGGCTGTTTGGACCAAGATCCCGGTTGAATATATAATACTGAAAGTCACCACCACTGTATGCATGGCATTTGAAGTCAGATGTGACATGGATCTGTGGTAAGGTAACATAGGAAACAGAACATTAGTAGACAGTATGACATGTTGTAGAAGTGATCGTTTGGGATGTCAGAGAAAATAAATAAATGGGTATATTCAGAAATGAAAGGCATGAAGGAAAATGACGTGGCATCCTAAAAGTCAAGAATATAAAAAAGTTTCACCAAGAATATTCACCTATGACTACAGATGTGACAGACAAAGGAGAAAATGAGAAATGAGGTTTGAATTGCATGTAACCATGTGGTTATCAACAGACTGGTGGAGAGTCATTTCAGGGAAGCTATGAGGACAACTGCATTGGAGCATGCCTAAGGAAAAATGGGTAGAGGTCTGAAGACACAGTCGGTTGATAGAGTGTTTACCTTATGTGTCCAAAGTTGCAGGTTTGTTCTTCAGCACTACATAATATAAGAGAGGTGTGGAGGGACATACCTGTAATCCTAGGAGTTAGTGGGTATGCAGGAGGATCAGAAGCTCAAGGTCTGTCCTGGATATATGATGAATATGAGGCCAGGCTGAGTTACTTGAGACCCTGTGCAAGGACACAGAAAGATGTGTGGGGGTGGGGGGGGAGAAGAAAGGGAGATGGGGAAAGGGAGATGGGGAAAGGGAAAAAGAGAGAGAGAGCAAGCCCAGGTGACTAGTATCAATGGCCATTAGAAAGACTTCAAAGCCACAGGAAGCTACTTACTTGTCCCTCTCCCCCTCCACTCCCCTCCTACTCCAGCAAGGCTGCAATGAACACAGCAGATGCCATGAGTCAGTAAGGATGCAGAGACACTGGAATCCTTAGCACTGTTGGTGGGGATATAAAGGGGGACAGTGACTTATAAACAGTTTCTCAAAATGTTACCTGTAGATCAGCCCTCATGAGAGAAGCTTCCTCTTGCACTATCTGGTAATGAACACAGAGACCCACAGCTGGACAGTGTGCAGAGCATGAGAGACTTTAGAAGCACTCAGCCTGAATGGGTTCTCCATCACACCTCTCTCCTCAAGATGGGGGGATCTGTGTGGAAGAGGCAGAAAGACTGTAAGGGCCAGAGGTGATGGATGCCTCCAAGGAGACAGTGTCATCCGGACCCAATAGGGCTGATACATATATGAATTCACAGAGACTGTGACACCACACAGGAGATCTGCAGAGGTTCAAAGCAGACAAAATCCCAGTACACACAAGGGGAAGTAGACACAAAAGTCCCACCCTTATCAAGAAGTTGTTTGAAATTGTGGCTTGCTAGAAAATGGAAAATCAGTTTTTTTTCCAATGACATGAAACTGGGTATTATCAACCACATCCCAAGATAGGTCCCGTGCTTAGGAGTAAGTTGACCAACACAAAACAGACTCCATATTTTTAGTGACCTTTTTCTTTTGTTTTTGTTTAGTTTCTTTTTCTTTTTTTGCTTTTTGTTTTTTTAAGAGAGAGAAAGAACATAAGGTTGGGTAGGTAGGGAATCGGGGGAGGAACTGGGAAGAGTTGGGAGATGGGAAAGAATATAAAATGTAGTGTGTAAAATACTCAAAGAATTAAGAAAGAAAAAGTTAGAGTTACCACCTGACAAAATAATTCATACTCAAGAGAAATAAAAACACAACATCCACATAGAAACTTGTGCAGGAATGTTCACAGCGGGATTACTAATTGGCAAAAATGGAGGCAACCTAAATGCCCATCAACTGAAGAACAGATAAATAAAATACAGAGTCTTTTTACTATGAAATATACACCCAGAAAAATAAAGCAATATTCTTGATATAGCTTGGCTTTTTACATGCTGAGTGGAAGAAAAGGATGATGACAGGGCACATGCTATATGATTTCATTTAAATGAAGACTTGAAGACAGGCAGATCTATAGTGATGGCAAGTAACCTAGGGGATAGAGGCTGTAGGGGAAGAGAGAATTACTGACAATTTGTAGGTACTTTTTTGGTGTAATCTAAGTGTTCTGAGCAGGTTATGTTCATGGTGGTACAACTCCATAAATACTAAGCCTTGAAGTATAAATTTTGCTAGGTGAATCCTTTCCCTTCAGTGCTGGGCTTCAAGTGAACAAGACTACCACACCCAACAGTAAGTGAACTCAGGGGATCTGAACTCAGGTCCTTGTACTTGTGTAACACCTCCCTTGCCCACTGAGCCTTCTTCCCTTTCCCCAGTTTTATTGGACTCTCAGAAATCTGACTGCAGGTAGAGATTAGTGTACAGGAATTTCTTGAGACATATTCTCAGGAGCAACATCTGAGAGAGGAGATAAAGGGGACATTGATGGGTGGTGTAATGGTTATTGGAGCCTCGGGGATTTCGGAAGGTCACTATGGGGCTGGAATGCCCCCACCCCCATTCCATGCCAGCTCATTGAGGCAAATAGGCTGCACCCTTTGTTGACATTTGCAAATGAGAGTCTACTGGGATGGAAGCAGCCATGGACAAGAAGGGTTCTGTTGAGTCAGAGGCACTCCTCAAGAGAGACGCCACCGTAAGATGACAGCAGTCAGCACACCTAGATGCTACAGACATCAAGTGGTCCAGCCTCAAGGGAGAGCTGGAAACAGGTGCTTTTGTTTCTTTTCATGTTGCTGTGGTAAAATGCCCTGACAGAATTAAGTTAAGGGAGAGAGGGTTGATTTTGATCTCACAGTTCAAAGACACAGTTTGTCATAGTGGGGAAGTGAAAGTGGCAGGAATTTGAAGCAGCAGGTCACAATGCACCCCGAGTCAAGTCCAGAAAGCAAGGAATGCTGGTGCTCAGCTCACTGCCTCCAACTTGTGTAGTCTAGGACTCCAACTTATGTAGTCTAGGACCAAAGCTCAAGAGATGTTCTGCCCACAGTTAAGATGGAGTTTCCCATGCTATTAACATAAGTTGACCCCAAACAGGCATGCTGGGAAGACCATCTTCTAGGTGACTCTAGATCCAGTCAGGTTGACAGCACTAACCATCACAGTGGTACATCACAGTCTGCTACCACTCATATCCCGCACTGTTCGTAGTAGGTGTTGTTTGCCTCTCCCAGAAAAACCTCCTCTGTGCAGCTTGGGAGAGGGCTCAGTTAGTATACTGCTTGCTACACAAGCATGAAGACTTGAGTTTGATTCCTAGTACTCACATACAAAGTCAGGCATAGTGGTAGACCCCACTGCTGGTGATGTGAAGACCCACTGGTTCCAACTGGTCTAATCAGTGAACCTCCCATTCCAGTGGGAGACCTTATCCTAACAAGCAAGGAGGTAGAGAGCTCCTGAGGAATGACACTCTCTGCTGGCCTCTGTCCTTCACATGCACACTCATTTGCTTTTTGTTTTTATTAATTTGATTTATTTATATTGTTATGCTATGTGTTGAGACGTTTTGCTTGCATGTATGTATGTGTACTACATGCATGCCTGGTGTCCATGGAGATCAGAGAAGGGCACTGAATTCCTTGGGACTGAAGTTACACATAGTCTTGAGTCACAGTGTGGATCCTGGGAATTAAATCTTGTTCCTCTGTGAGAGTCCACATACGCTTAGCCACTGAACCAACTCTCTGGCCCATGTACACTCACTTGTACACACACACACACATGCACAAACATTCTCAAATCTCCTTTCACACACATAAAATTAAAAAATAAAAGGATGCCTCCTTCAGGATTCTCATTACGTTTTTCTTTAACCAAATTTATATGAGGTTGGAAGATCTACATCTTAAGTCTGTAACTGGCCTAGAGGCTTCCAGCAGGGCTCAGAGCCCCAAATCTACTCATCACCTTGTATCTTCTCTTCAAGTCTTGGTGGCTTCCCTGGTGGCATGACCCAAATTCTCATCTATTTTTAAAAGTATTGGCCCTGGGATCCATGGCCAACATGATGTTCCTAAGTGCTGATTCCTGTATTTATATATGTTTGTTCAGAATTAGGGAACTATCAGTGACAGGCCACTTAATGTCCAGACAGTCTTCTTTTTCTCCCCTTGGAAGCTGGCTTCCCTTGTCCTCAAGGCCATGAGAAGACTCTTTTGCCATTCTCATAACTTCTTTTCTTGACTGCTGATGTTTTGGAACAAGAACCCAGTGACCAGGTAACAGTCATAGTCTAAACCAGTGTTTCTCAACCTGTGGGTCTCTACCTCATTGGTGGTAGCATATCAGATATCCTGAATGGTACATATTTACATTGCGATTCATAACAGTAGCAAAATTACAGTTATGAAGTAGCAACAAAACAATTTTATGATTGGGGTCACTACAACTTGAGGAACTGTACTAAAAGGAAGCAGTGTTAGGAAGGTTGAGAAACAGTGACTTAAACTTTAGCTTTACTAAAAGCTTAATGGGGCCTGGTGCACTTCGTTCTGAGACGGAGGCTGTCGAAACAGGTGGGGAAGTTTTAGGGGTAAGAGCACAAACTCTCAAATGGGTCCCGCGTGCATAGATAGGAAGGACCACATGGTTCCCAGATCTGTATGCCTCACCTACCGGGGCATGGCGGCACAAGATAGCCATTGAATAAAACTTGGTGCTATATTCTGTAGTATAGCACTCCATGTTTCAGGGGAGCCTCTCCAAACTGGTACCTCAGCTGAACCTCTGGAAATGCAGTCTACGGCTCAGTTGGCTTCCAGGGTGCTCTTCACTGGCTCATCTCGGCAGGCAAATGAGGCCTGATAGATATAATGAAATAATGTGATGTTCTGTGGAATGAAAGCATTCAGTTTCCTTTAGATAACATTATCAAACACGGGGCAGTCTGGTGCCAAATGTGTACTTATGTACCTTCCT